GAAAATCACAGATCCTTCCTTTAAAAAGTCTAGCTTGGCGCCAGTGGGTGGTGTGGTTAAAGTGACTAGATTCCACATGGCTTGGAAGTTTGAGAACCGGCATGTGGAAAATCACACAGGGTAAGTGTGCATGCATGCCCAAAGTCCTGAGAGGAGATTGGAGAAAAGGGGATTGCTGTGTGGCCATCTCCCCTGAGGGGTGAGTTCTCACTTTTCCTCTCTCTCTGTTTTTCTCCAGCAAGTGCACATGCCCTATAGCAAATTAAAAAAAAAAGTCTAGATTTGTAAAGGTATGATCCAAAAATAAAAGGATATCCACTGGCACTACTAACACAGCATGTTTTCCATTAAGCAGTACCCACATGCCTGACCAGACTTCTTTCTTTTCTTTTTTCATTTTTTTTTTAGAGATTTTTGCTATAGAATGCATGTGCTCATGGGAGTGACAAAGAGAGACAGAGAGACAGAAAGTGAGAAAACCCCCCCCGCCCAGGGAGGATAGCCACACTGCAACCCCTTCTCCTCTCAGGATTTTGGGCATGCATGTACACAAGTTTGAGTCCCAGACTTGGTGGCTTGGTGTGATTTTCAAGCCACCAAGTATGCGACTCAAACTGTAGATTCATAAGCACTGATGATAGCAGCAAACTGCTCTTACTTCAGGGGTCAAGAGTCACACAGTCCTTCTTGCCACGGGATAAGTCTAAGGACCTTGACCACACTAGTGATCTGACCACAAAGTTAAAAGAAAAAGCCAGGAAGCCAGGTCCAGAAGATGGTGCATTTGGTTCTTTCCCCAGGACCACACTTTCTCAGGAAGCTGAGTTCGACTAAACACAATAGCCTTTCAGTAGCTGGACAGCTCACAGGTTGTCAGTGTCATTCTGCTATGGTGTCCTCATATGCCAGGCCAAGCTGGTAGCTGTGTTTCTCGTACAAGTTGGACAGAGTTTGGACAGAAAGGACTGAAAATGGTTCATATGTTCAAAGCTGAAACTGGCAAACACACTCCCCATTTCCTAAATACATCACCCTAAGAATTCATTAGGAAATTCTTTTTCTTAAGGCATTGCCTGGTTTTCTCTCTGCTTTTAAATTTAAATACACGTATCATGACTACAATTATATTTAAATATAGCTACGAACCAGCAATCTATACTCTCATTTGTGTATATTTGAATCTTCCAGACAGACACAGAGTTAAACAGAATTTCTGACTCTCTGAGTTGCAAGAGAGGTAGTGATCACCTAAGTGTGAGTCCCACTCTGTGACAGCATCCCTCAGGAAACACTTTCAACAATGTGGAGCTAACTGGCTCCTGGGTGGGCAACCTTTTTTTGTTTTATGTATTCAAGCTACTGTCTGTCTGCTGAAAATCACAGATCCTTCCTTTAAAAAGTCTAGCTTGGCGCCAGTGGGTGGTGTGGTTAAAGTGACTAGATTCCACATGGCTTGGAAGTTTGAGAACCGGCATGTGGAAAATCACACAGGGTAAGTGTGCATGCATGCCCAAAGTCCTGAGAGGAGATTGGAGAAAAGGGGATTGCTGTGTGGCCATCTCCCCTGAGGGGTGAGTTCTCACTTTTCCTCTCTCTCTGTTTTTCTCCAGCAAGTGCACATGCCCTATAGCAAATTAAAAAAAAAAGTCTAGATTTGTAAAGGTATGATCCAAAAATAAAAGGATATCCACTGGCACTACTAACACAGCATGTTTTCCATTAAGCAGTACCCACATGCCTGACCAGACTTCTTTCTTTTCTTTTTTCATTTTTTTTTTAGAGATTTTTGCTATAGAATGCATGTGCTCATGGGAGTGACAAAGAGAGACAGAGAGACAGAAAGTGAGAAAACACCCCCCGCCCAGGGAGGATAGCCACACTGCAACCCCTTCTCCTCTCAGGATTTTGGGCATGCATGTACACAAGTTTGAGTCCCAGACTTGGTGGCTTGGTGTGATTTTCAAGCCACCAAGTCTGGGACTCAAACTGTAGTTGGCCATGTGTGAGCCCATTACCTTAACCACCACACCACCTGCTGGCCCCCTGACCAGACTTGTTAAGCCAGCTGTCTGACCCAGGCCTGTGCCACAGGCAGCTATACATCAATACTTGTTTCTGAGCACCTGCTGCAAGCAGGACCCTGTTACTAAAATGCAAATCCAGACATGCCTCCAGATTCGGGTTGACAAAAATACAGAGGCCAGAGAATGTGAAGCCTCTGCTCTTGGACAATTTAAGGAAAACAGATAGTCATTCCTCTGTTCAACTCCCTCACCTGCCTGCAGGCAGGGGGCTAGACTAGCAGATTTCCTGGGTTCTCACTAAATTCCAATATGAACAAAGGAGCCCAGAATTGGCCCCCAGACCCTGTCCTTCACTACGTGGTTGAGAGTAGATTACAGATTCCAAAGAAAAGGGTCAACCAAAAAGTGACTGAATTCCTCAGAGGCAGGCTGCTGTTCCTTGTAGAGCTGGTCATTGGCTAGGCACAGGCAGCCCCCACCTGGAGCGTCTGTCTGTGTATGTCAGACACACACACACACACACACACACACACACACACACATAGAAACATGGATTCCAGCATTCTTCAGACTCTTCACTAGAGTCCTGTCCCCTTTGTCAGACTTAGACTTCCCCATTCCTCTCCTCAGCTAACAAGCTATACTTCCTCCTCCCCTCCTCCTCCCACTACTCCCTCCCGCAGCCCTACCTTCAAAAATAGTTACTCTTTTACACAGGTGCCTGGAATTCAGGACAGTTTTACAAACAGCCTGACCTTTCCTACCCGGGGCCAAAATGTAAGAAGTAACTTGGGGGGAGAAATCGTCTTGCTAGAACACTCAAGCCGCCTTTGTCAAACAGTAACTTGGCTAATTATGAGTTTCATCCCTTGGGCAGTTTTCTTTAGAGGCCTTCAGGGGCTTACGTGGAACACATCCAAATCGGAGTCTCTCACTGGCTCCCAGATACAAAAAGAGCCAAACTGCTTTAGCTCAAAATGTCAAGGTCCCCTAGCCAGTCGAACTGGAGGTTTCCTGAGCTCAGAACTACCAACTCACTCAAAGCCTGGAAACAAGTCTCATCTCTGTTTTGAATGGTTCCAATCAGAAAAATTCAACCACGGGGACGGGGGTTGAGGACAAAAAGAGCTAAAGAGAGGAAGAATGAAAGACAGCAGAGTTTGGCATCGCACTTCCAAAAAGAAGCAAGGCAAACAACAAAACCAAGAACACTTAGAGAGAGGGTGAGGAGAAGGAAAAACCATTTTGAACATTATGCATATGCCTGCCTGCCTGCCTGTACGGGCTCGCCGGTACCACTCACGAGCACGTGCACACACACATGCACACGCAGACACACTCAGCCACGAAACTGATTGGAGAGCAGCTAAGAAGCCTTCAGCAACCTGCCTGACTTTGCCAAATACTTCACAAAGTCAGCAGTAGCAGCAGCAACAGCAAAAGGGCCTTTAACAAAGAGCTCCTCTGACCTTACTTTCCCAGTCTGGTTGTAAACTGGGTCCCCTTCCTCCCCCTGCTGTTACTCAAGCCAGCTGCAACCATCAAAAAGCCTGGCAAAGCAACCCGAAAATCACTCTGGATGCACTGGGGAAGGCTTGAAGTCCTCGTAGAAGGACGAAAATGAGCCCCGAGGGACTGGAGTTCATTTTAATTACCCACACAGGCTGGCCAAGGAGCCCCCTCCCACCTCCCACTTCCCACCTCCCACGGCCTGACCTCAGCACGGGAGCTCCATTTCCAGGTCACCCAGGTACATGAACAACAGCAGGCTCACCTCAGGCCTGGCCCGCAGTCCATGCACACACCTCTTGGCTCCTCAAGGCCCTCCTCACAGTAATCCCAAAACAATTAGCACTGCTCCCATCCCTAGAGCTTACAGCAGTCTCAGCACATCCAGCAGCCACGCCACAGTGCCCTAGAATCCAACTGGCCACCTCCCTAGAGCAGCGACCTACACAAACTTCAAATAGTGGCTCTAGTACTAGGTATTACAACACAGGAAAAAATAACTCCAAGGCTGGCATCAGGCAGACACAGAATAGACAGTCATTTATGTGGAGCGATTTGGAGGCAACTAGCAACTCCCTTTCTTCTTTTTTTCCTTAAATTATTTATCTATTTCATTTTAGTTTTCATCATCATCCCTTTTTAACTTGATATACGGCATGTGGGCCCACCCGAGGTGGCAGGGAAGTGAGTAAGCAAACTGCCAGGTCATGTGGGAATCCAGCACCCCAGCCACCATGTCACCTGCTGGCCCTAGTGACTCACTTTCTTTTTTAAAGAATTATTTTATTTAACTTTATTTATTTATTTAAATTTGTCCAGAGAGGGACAGAATGTGAGAGAGAGAGAGAAAGTAAGAAAGGAAGCCACCAGGTCTGGGACTTGAACACGGTGAGCCATGTGGGACCCTTAGCCACCATGCCATCTGCTGGTCCCGAGACTCACTTTTAATAAGCACATATGTGCCACATGCACAGGTTGTCTGTGGTACAGCGGAGGCTAGAACCAATGTGCACAGTCCCAATGCAATTGGCTTTTTAATTTAACAACTAGCTGAGAGCTGGACCCTAAAGAAAAAGGATCCAGAACAACAGGATAGGTGAGTACTGTTGGATGGTGTTATAACAATGATGGTGTCCCTAGGCTTGGGAGGAGTAGGGAAGAGATATTAACATTTTGTCACTAAGCTCCCAAGAAGACCACTGGGAGGCAGGGTGAATAATTACGACAAACTCTCTTATTTCCCAGGTTTGTCAGGGGTAGCTATAAAATTGGTATCCAAGGTCTTTTTAGGAAGCGCATTCTCTGCTATTACTACATAGCGATGAAATCAGTTGGCCTGATCTATAGACATTGCTTAAGAAGATATAAAAGTCATCCGAGAACCAGCCACAAACTCCCCAGAAAGAAGGTTCTTCCCCTGAACCCAAAGGAACCATAATCAGGCAACTCTACTTAATGGGAACTCACTCGAAGGCGAAGAAGAGTGTGCAGGTTCCCAGGATGAGGAAGAGGGTCAAGTAGAAGATGCCCTTTTGTCGGGCCATCATGACGCGGCCATCGCAGCAGAACGTGTTCCTTCCTGGGAGTTTCTCCCATTTCCGTGTCACCTTCTTTCTCACCACCATCACAGACATGATTGGAATTCCTGGTCCAAAAGGAGCTTGCTTGGTGATTACACGAGAGAAGAAATGGAGGCTGAGCCCAGCTTTGAAATCACGTTGCCTGCTATTGCTGCCACTGGGTCAAACATCATCAAAAGTCCAATTTCTAACCCTGAGAAAAAGCACAAAAAGGAAACAACAGATGAAGCAGGAATAAGAAAATGCAGTCCAACCCTCCTTTCTCAGAGACAGAAAAATGAACACAGCTGGAAGGAGTAGGGATGGATAAGTGGGGAAAGTTTATTTCCAACCTGTGTCTTTAAAGGTTCTCAAAAATAGAAGAGGACTAGTACTTCTTCTTAAACCCCCGTTCTTCCAGATGAATACTGATGATTTCACAGAACCTCGGAACTCCAAGGGATTTGACAGATGATCATCCCAATTACTTTGTTTTATAAGTGAATAAACAGAGGACCAGAGAGAGGGATTTAACTTCTCCAGGTTCATACAGTGGCAAAGCCGAGACCCCCCCCAAAAAAAAACCCACATCTGCTGAAGTCCCAGACACTTTCCACCACACCACAATGTTCTTTAATCATCATTAAGAGGGCTCTAAAAATAATAGCAGGTTTTTTGCCTTTATCAAGCCATCCCTCCTCCACTTCTTCACCTTCTTTCTCCAATTAGCTACTCAAATATGAATCACACCAGGGAACAAGTCACCCTCTGGCAAGGCTAGGAGGTTCTGGACACTCTGTACACACGCGCGCACACACACACACACACACACACACACACACACACAGTATTTACACAAAATGGATTTCCCCCAAGCAAACCTTCTGTAACTTCCCAAGTCCGGGAAATGAAATGATCTTGCTGGTCTAGCCTAACATGTGTGGGCATCTTAACAAAACCACATCACAGACCCGGAGGTGAGAGGCAGGAGAGACTCTGGAATGGTTGGCACTGGTGTGGGGGTGGGGACAGCAGCTAAGAAAAGTCATAAGGACGCTTTCTGGGACAATTCCTAAGTAGCATCTCAGCTCAGCATCCTAGGTTGCCAGGCCTAGCCTTTCTCAGCCACTGCCACCTTCTCCCTCCCCTCAGGTGTGGTGCTGTGGCCTCTATTTACTGCCACCACATGCCCCACGCTGGCAAGAATGAGGCAGAAGCCTGCAGTCCGGCTGACCCGAGAGGAACGGAAAGATCAAGTCGGGATCCTTCCCGGGCTGCAGAGGGCAAGGGTCCAAAGGAGACTAGGCGCTGGCAAGGGAGAGGAGAAGGTTCAAGGCTCGGGAGCGGGGAGGAGGCACCAGAGGTGCAGAGAACACTTCCTTTGTGTAAAACTAACCTGGAAAACAGTCTCCTCCCGATCACCCGGGCCAGCGGGCGAAGAGACCAGGAAGGGAAACCCGGCCTGGGAGAACAAAGATTCAAATCCGTCAGGAAGCAGCGGCCG